TACACGTATCCGTGACGCGTCACGGTCGTTACAGTGACGACATGCGCGTGACGTCGCCGTTCAAGCCGGTGAAGCACGGCGACATTATCCAGCTGGTGCATGGGATGACCAGTCGGGCGCTCAACTCGCACGACGTCGCCGCCCCAATGACGCCCGGAAATCAGGTCAGAATGAGAACGCGGGAATAATGTGAGCATATGCGTGTTTGGTATGTGTGTATGCGTGGGGGAGGTGCTTGAATCTGACACGACAGAATAATTATAGATTGGGTCTCCTAATGTGTTGGTGTGATCCGTCGTCTTGCAAGAAATTCTATTGAGTGATTTCATTTAGTCGAATTAACATTTTTGCGGTATTAATTGGTTTGTTTGACTGGTTAATGCATATATATTTTTATCGCTTGTGTTTAGACATCAGGGGTTGAGATAGTACACCTTTTTGCGTTAGCTTTTGACCATTGAGCAAAACCTTTGTACACATTCGCCATATAGGTGGCGCTACAAATGGGTGGTTGGTCACAAAGAATCGCCATTGGGCAAAACTATTCGGCGATCTTCCTCTACAACTCGACATTGAACGAATGGTTCAACACTTGTGCAAAACAATTCGTCAATGATCGAAACTATTCGTCATATGCCGAGCTGGCTCCCTCTATGCCGAAGTCTGGCGAACTGATAAACTGTTTTGCAGATCGCTCATTTCAGTGTTCAATCTGTTTTACTGAATGGCTGAAATGAAACGCACCACGCCGAAATAGTTGTGATCAATGCCGATTGTCGAAATGGCTCCTCAAACAGTTATGGCGAATGGTTGAATTCAAATGCAAAAAGGTGTACTATCTCATCCATGCTCTGATGGACGTCTTTCCGTTTCTGACCACGCCCACGCTCCTCCCACTCCCGCAGGAGGTGAGCTGCTACATCGACTACAACATCTCGATGCCGGCGCAGAACCTGTGGAAGGTGGAGCTGCTGAACGGAAAGGACACCGGAAACGTGTGGCACGCCATCGTCTCACAGGTGGGCGGCCGACGACAGAAGGGAGGGAGTGATAGGTTGGGAGGGCTGCTGCTGCAGTGGGAGCGGGGTGACGGGAGGGGTGGGAGCGAGGATGGAGAGACCAGGCTGTGCTTATTGGAGAGATAGAGGCCAATATACAGTCATGGGGCGTTGAAGGAGGAGAGTGAATATCCACGAGCTCACGAGATGGGTAATTGAGGTGTAAATCTGCTTTGGTTGCACCACGTTAACGTTTATTTTATTTTCTCTCCACCCGTTTGTCGTGCTCCGTAATTCTTCCCGGCCTTCTGTGGTCCCAGCCGACTCCCCCTCTGACCCGTCCGCTGTGCCTATAGGTGCGTCTGATCCACCAGCCGAGCGGCACCGCTCTGAAATTCACTGGCCAGCAGCTGCCCGACTGGGGCCACAACCAGCTCGAGGTCACGTGCGACAAGGTGGTGCAGCAGGACGACACCATCTGGAACGCCGAGGAGCACCGCTACACCCTGGCCGAGGGCAGCGAGAAACAGCAGGAGGACATGGCCGGCGCCGAGATGCTGCCCCTCTCCAGCGCGCGCCTCTCGCTCTGGGCCAAGTTCACCGAGCTGCAGCTCAAGATGCTGTTCAACAATCAGGAGACCGTGCAGGGCCACATGTACGCCAGCGACCCGCTCGACTGGCTCTCACTGAAGCGCGGCGTGGCGTACTGGATTAGTCCGGACAGTAACGCGCAGGTGCACTTCCTGGGTAACGCGGCTGTGTGGCTGGCGGCCAGCGCCTCGCTGGCGGCCTACGCCGGCATCATGGGCATCTACCTGCTGAGACGCCGCCGAGAGTGCTACGATATCCCAGAGGGTGAGTACTGAGAAATAAGTAATTGGGTGTGGGCATGATGTAGCGAACTTAAATCGTTCCATCCAGGCTTCCGAGCTTCAACTTTCCCTCGAAAGCCCACAGTCACCTTCATGTGAGAAGTCGCGCGACTGCGCGCTAATGCTTACGTCTCATCTTCACTCGGTAATGCGACCCGCGAGCTCGGTCAGCGGGAATCTCATCTTTGCCCCTTCCCCCTCCCCCCCCCCACACGCTCTCCGTGCCAGACCCCGCATCGTTTTCCTGCGTGGGTGTTTGGTGTCATCTGACGTACCGATCCAGTTACCCGAGCCGGGCCGTAAACTAGACACCGCCAGTCTCCGGTGCGGAGAGCAGAGGCTAGAGATGAAGGGAGAGTGGGCTGTAGGGGCGATAACTAGTTACGCTGGTCAATAATGTGGGATTGCCTTGCTGGAGGGTTTGTAACACGCAGAAGAGCACATGGTGGCACTGAGATGCATTTAGTATACCAGTGCGGTATGGAAGTGCAGCAGCGTTTTATATTTGCATGAGCTTTAATAGTTAGCGTGCGGTGTGAATGTGGATTAGTTGTGAATAGGAGTCAGCTTATGCCTTCATGCAGCATTACGCATTTCGGGTGTCGAAAATGGAAAAGTTTCGATCCTGCCAGGATTCGAACCTGGAATCTTCTGATCCGTAGTCAGACGCGTTATCCATTGCGCCACAGGACCGGTTGGATGGTGGAGGGTCGGTTGTTCATCAAATTCTAGGGTTCGCTTAGAATTTACCTATTTCATATACAACAAATTGTTTTGAACAATAATGCTTTGATCCTTAGTTGTCTTTATTCCATCCAATGCTTCTTGGGGCTGCGTTAATCCGTACACTTGAATTGTGCTAATGCTCAATAATGCGTGTAGTGCTTTTGTTCTGCCAGTGTCCAGCACGTCATGTCCTGTGTGGCGGCCATTGCGTACCTATTTGTTAGCTGTATCATTGCCTGTTCTCCTGCACATTAGTGAATGATGTGAATCTAGACTAATGCAATCTTGAACACGTTGAGAATAATAGAGGCCAAGGCTGTAGACTGTAGAGGCACTTGAATCATTGGCTTTAGCGACATCTGGGTACCAATCCTGTACTGCTAGTACTAACTTTTTTCACCAGGTGGCAGTACCACATGATTTTCGTACAAGGACCGATTCTTCAGTTTTCGCAGTGCGCTCTACAATCGCACAGTGCATCAGAGACTCACGAAGTTTGAATCTAGAGTCCTGAAACAGTTGAGGACCGCTGTGAATTGACCTACCCTAACGACCTTCTTCGTTTGCAGATGAGTGGGACAAGATGTGCGACCTGGGCCTGATCGTTCTGCTCGGCTTCGCTCTCAACTACCTGCCGTACTTCATCATCGACCACACGTTCTTCCTGCACCACTACCTGCCGGCCTACATCTTCGCCGTGCTCATGTCGGCCTGCATCGTGGACCACGTGTTCGTCTTGCTCGGGTGAGAATTGTCATACAGTCGAGAGGATGGAGTTGGTATGGTTGTATGAGGTAGAAGTAGGTGGGGCTATATTAGCTTCCAGGTGATGCATTGATGAACGATTGTAGCTTTTATTGGCACTGAGTGTTGAGTAATGGATCGTGACTCCCATTTGACTCATCGAGCACTAATGAGTCCTGCAGTTCCGGGGCGTCCCTACTCCCTAGCCTGCTCCAAATAACTCTGGTGATAGATTAGCTCTATCCGTGTTTTGTTCTCCCCATGCGTCCTGTTTGACTCGTGTTCCCTCCTCAGACCCCCGTATGACCGTCTTTCTCCCCCTCACTCTGTGACGATGTTGCCTCTACCCCAGGCGTGTGGCCGGCGGCTGGCTGCGTCTGCCCGCTGCTGCTGGCGTGCTGCTCTGGCTGGCTGCCGCCGTCTACACCTTTATCCGCTTCAGTGTGGTGACCTACGGCACGACCCCACTCTCGGCTCCCGAGGTACAGGCGCTCGCCTGGCGAGACACCTGGGACCTGATCGTGCACAAACCGTGAGGGGGCGCCGGTGAGCGGTGCACGGGTGCACAGGACGATGGTGGAAACTGGGGTCCGATCGGGGAGTGATGCGTGGGTGACTGCTGGCTGGCTTTAGAAGTGGGTTGGGAGGTGGGGAGAGACTGAAAATGTTGAGATTGATAGAAGAGTGATGACGAGTTTGTGGATTTGGGTGTACTACTGGAGTTGGTATTCTCTGAAGAGAACTATTACATCGAAGATTATATTTTGATATTGTTTTCTATCCTTTTGTTGGTTCACTTGATTATGTAACGAGATGGGATCTTGCTCAGTTTTTATTCTACCTTTTGTTACACTTAATTTGTATGGACAAGCATTTTTGCGTTGGGAGGCAGTTGTTTCACATTTTTTATATTCATTTTGCGTAGAACTGGGTGAGTGGTGACCTTATATGAGTTCAGATTGTACCTGGAAGCTTCCTGGATAAGGTCAATGCGCAATTGTAAACGGCCAAGTTGGATGATAACCGTCTTCCATACATACCGGCTATGAACGGACTTCCATTGAAGTGACTGTTGATTGTTGACACCGTGTCTCGGTTGTGTATTGTCTTCATGTGAGCGCTGTTCGCCCACACCCATGTCCCGGTCATGTCTTTTCGGCGTGACCTCTGTTCATACGTTGTGCTCGTGTCGGCTGCGATCTAACTCTCCAATGTTGGCTGTTACGTACGGTACTCTGATGGGAAGAATCTCCTATATTTGTTTCGGTTGAGTGTTTCTAAATAAATGGCTGCAGTGACAGCAAATATAAATTAAGTTTTTTGTTGGGTTGGACATATGTCCGCAAATGCTGAATTGGGTTGCACTGCTATGTAAATGTTTTTCGATGATAACGTGTTGTGTAACTGTATGTGATGTCCAGCAATGTCTGCCTGTTCGTTCAATGTCGATCTTATCAATTATCATCCTGTATTTTAGCGTACATCATCCTTCTTTCACACCTCCCCGTCGCCCCGACTTTTCTTCTCCTGTCCTCTCTCCCCTTCCTCTTTTCTATTTATAGTCACCGTGCTCTTTTCCTCTGTCCCCTCATCTCTCTCGCCCCTCCTCTCCTCTGCTCCTGACCTCGAGCCACCAATGGAATCAATAGACGCACAGCACCCACCCGCCTCCGGGTCGGTCCGTCTCGGCACATCCGCACCCGTGCTGCGCGGCCCGTCGCGACTGGCCTCGTCAGTCGGAGTGTAGAGATCAGGAAGGAGGGATAGGCCCAGCTACCGGAGATACGCAGCGAGAGTATGGTGAGCGAACAGAATGTGGGTGTTTTGTGTTGAGAAGCATTTGGGCCATAGTGTATCCAGTTCAAGGATTTGAGTGATAAAACGGAATCAAAAGATATTTTGCTTTGCGTTCATTCCTTGGTATGCACTTGGTTTGTCATGCACAGTAAAATGTTCAAGATCAGATCTGGCTCTGTCTAAAGTAATGAACACAGGAGCCTCCGTAGGAGCTCGAGCGCATGTATGACCAGCGGTTTTCGTGCTGTCTCAGCTTATCGGGGAAATTTCTCGCATCGGTGCTGTCCGAGGTTTTCAGCAGTTTAGCTATGCCTGGATGGGCCCGGGAGAGGCTGCGTAAACATGGAATGTGCCAAGGACGCGCCGTCACCCCTCGCACCGGCGGGTGACATTGTGCAAGTCACCGCCCGAGAGTCATGGTCCTTGGATCAATGAATGGTCTGATCATGGTGCAGTTTTGACGCAGCCTGGTGCTCTGCGTGCGGGTAGCTGCGTGCTTTGTTCCAGTGACCGTTTTAAGAGCACGGTTTGCGCCTTGTTCCAGATGCTGCGTGTTCGGCATCTGACGCTGTTTTTGGCAGCGTCAATACTGCTGCTTGTCTCAGCCGCAGTTTCCGAGGGTCCAATCATATCGACGCAAAATGGCGATATCCGAGGCGAAATTCTCAAGTCGTTCCTGGGAAATGAGTTCGCCTCGTTCAAAGGTGAGCTGATCGTCGCATGAATCGCTCGTTTCCACTTGAATGTGTTCGATACTCTTATCTGATCAGGTTGAATATTTAGTAGTAATTATCACTTGGAGCATAGTTAGCTAATAGGACAACTACGTGTTTCACCATCTTTACCGTGTAGTGTGTTTCAATGTTGTTGTAGTAGTAATCATACGACCCCGTTTGTTTTCCATTCTCCAGGCATTCCGTACGGCGCTCCCCCGCTCGGGTCCCTCCGATTCCGTCCTCCGGAGCCTCACGGCGGCTGGCAGGGGGTGCGGAACGCCACAGAGCACGGAAGCAAGTGTCTCCAGTTCAACACCTTCTCCGGCGCGCTGGAGGGAGACGAGGACTGCCTGTTCCTGAACGTGTACACCGCCCGGCTGCCGACTGCCACTGAGAAGGTCCGGCTGCCTGTGCTCGTCTGGCTGCACGGAGGGGCGTTCATCTTTGGTGACGGTGACGCCAGTCCGCTGTTCGGACCCGAGTATTTCATGGACCAGCAAGTGGTGCTGGTCACCATTAACAACCGGCTGGGGCCGTTCGGGTTTCTGACGACAGGAGACGAGGCGGCGCCGGGGAACTATGGTCTGCACGATCAGCGTCTGGCGCTGCAGTGGGTGCGGGACAACATCGCGGCGTTCGGCGGCGACCCGAACCAAGTCACACTGTTCGGTGAGTCGGCAGGAGGAGCCGGTGTCGGCCTGCACGTGCTCAGCCCGCTGTCCAAGGGACTCTTCGCCAGAGCCATCAGCCAGTCCGGTGCCTCGTTCTGCAACTTCGCCGCCAGCGGAGAGCCGCAGGGCGACCTGGCCATGCGACACGCTGAATTGCTGCGATGTCCAAGCGGGAGTTCGCAGGACGTCGTCACCTGTCTTCGTGAGAAGCCTGCGACTGAGGTGATGATTGCGGTGCAGAAGCTGGAGACTGATTTGGTGGTCGGTCTGCCGATTGTCTACAAAGCTCGCGTTGATGTCGAGTCGGACACGCCGTTCCTCCCCGAGGATCCACACTTGTTGCTGCGGGAGGGTCGCTTCAGTCGCGTGCCCTGGCTGCACGGCATAACCCACGACGAGGGTGCCTTCATGATTGGCACCCACTCGGCCGAGTCGCCGCCCAAGTACTCCTCCAGGGACTGGAACGTCTGGGCTAAAGACATCCTGGCCATCAGCAAGGTGACGGAAGATCCTCCCGCCATGGCAGAGAAGATTTACCGCTTCTACTTCGGTCAAAATTCCGTTGGAGAAGGAAATCTCGAGCGTCTGGTGGAAGTGTACACGGACCGCACCATCGCAGCGTGCACTTCAAAGGAAGCCGACCTGGCCTCTGCCCACACTCCTGTCTACAGGTACGTCCTGAATCACATGGGCCCGGGACGACAGAGTTTCGCCAAGATCCTCAGCGCGATTCTGGGCACCGCGGACGGCAGTGTGAGGGACTACGGCGTCTCACACACGGACGACCTGCTGTACCTCTTCAAGAACGGGCTCGCTCCTCCCGTTGCGCTGGGCTCTGAGGAGCACAAGATGATCCATTTCATGGTCTCGCTGTGGACGAGCTTCGCCCGCCAGGGCTACCCGAGCACGGACGTCGTGTCGATGCCGAGGTGGCCCGTCTACACGGCCGAGGATCGCCAGCACATGTGGCTGAACAATCAGCCCAGCGTGGGGAGCGCCGCCTTCAGCGAGCGGATCGCCTTCTGGAGAGGTCTGGAGATCAACGAGAGCTGGCGAGCTCCGCAGGGCGGGTCGACACTGCAGAAAGATGAGCTGTGATTCGTGAACGGATTGGGTGAAGTGAGATTACGGTGAAGAGAGTGTTTTATCAGCAGAAAACTAGCTGCCAACTTAGCTGGATTTGATTCAAGTGTGTCCTAGGTATAATAAATTTTACGCAAATTTTACCTCTTGCCACAACCAAACTCGATAGTACCGTAAATTTATGAGCCTCCTGACAGGTATGGTTGTGGTTGATGGCAGGCCGTAGCCAGACTAAGTCAGTGAGGAGACCGGCCGTGCGCGACTATGTGCGCACGTTGAACTTTGGACTCTAAATTCTGCCATAGAACTGGAATGGCTTGATCGGACTTCGGAGGGAAGAGAGCAGGGTCACTACAACACGCTTCGCTTAGGTGATTATAGGTACCCAAGATTGCTTGACTACTCATAGGTACCTAGGGGAAGGAGGGTGAATTGCGCCACCTTAACGAAAAACTCTATTTGTAAGAAAACCGCTGGAAATATAAGCATGCACTGGTAACCATTTCAAAGAGGAACTCGTTGGCTACGATTTAAGAGCCTCCCGATCAATTGAGGATGTTTTGTTGGCTTCTGACAGCTGCTTTTTCAGAAACATGCAAAAGGGCGCATTTGCCAACAACTGCTGTAAATTGCGCCAGGGGGATGGCGCAATTAGAACCCAATTGCGCCCTATACTTTAACATGGCTAAGTGAATGAGACGGAATGCATACACCCCGGGCAGTCTAATGTCATTGTGGCTTACTTAAACATCTATAATGTTATTCAGGCTGGATAAATAATAAATGTAGATATAAATCGCGATATTTTTTGCCCAGGTAGATAACTTTACATGTGTCCGTACGCTTGTAAAAGTGCAACGAAAACGTTTACTGTAACTGACTAGATATATGTGAACGTATGCGCCTATACAATTATATTTTCAATCGTTTCTCGCAAAATTAATAATTTTTTATCGTTTTGAAAACTTAATGACATCAGTTTTTAGTTTTTTATCATAGCTGTCACCTCTCACGCCTGAGTCCATGTTGAAAATGTCGTATTTTGTCCATTACACCACAAGCCGTAGCCTAAATGGCAGCTGCATTATAAGTTCGACGAGAGAAATAATTTGCGGACTGACGACAGCGGGCTGCTCCCTTGCCTGACCTTAAACTCCTGCTTTATTGCAATCAGTTAATGATGCATTCATACTGTCGTGGTACAATGACTACACCATTATTCCATTTGCGCCCCCCTGGCGCAATTGCCATGGGCGCAATTAAAAATGAGGTGCTTTTTAATAAAAGCGTAGAAGTTGTCATAAAGATGTTGAAGGATGTTTACTGTTTCAGTGAAATATAATAAAAAAGGGGGTTTCTTTCTAAATATCACTCTGAAAATCACACAAATATCGCAAATTTTTATAGCCAACGGTTCAAAATACTGCAAAATAGTTAAGAAAACGCCATAACATCTTTGATGGCGTAATGAGCCTTGCTAATTGGCTTCATCAGAGAGTTTGGGCCATAAAATGATCTATCCAGTGGTGAAAATAATGTTTTCGAACACAAAAATCTAAACATGCCATTGAATCCGTGGGAATTTTGGTGGGACCGATACCTCCTGGTCAGGAATCGAACAAGATTGAGGGGTACCGGCTTATACATCAGAGAAAGGCTCACTCCCACCAGGCAGCAGATTTTCAACAAGCTAATGCAGCTGAAACGAGAAGGGAAGGTCAACACGGTATTCACCAGAGACGGCGTCGTGCACGTCGTCATCGGCGAGCGAGACCGGCCGCGTCCCGTGAGATGTGACGCGGCCCTGGAGCGTATCAGCCGTGAGGTGGCCGAGCTGGCCGAGGCTGGTCGCCCCGGACAGCCGAGCCGCCGAGACTCCCGCTCCGACGAGACCACTGGGGCGAGTCGGAGCGACGGCGGACGGGAGATGGCGCACTCCCCTCCACGGGGTCGCGACCATGTGGCGGCAGGACCAGCTGGAGCCTCCACAGACACAACACCGGTCCGCGCTGCCGACGCCGCCGGACGGGGAGCGGAGCGCCGGGAGGGCGCGGAGCCGGGTGGCTCCGTCGTCCGCGGTGAGGAGGAGGCAGAACTGGCGCGCCGACGCCGCTCTCCGTCCTCGCCTGGCGCTGGAGATCGGCCGGAGCGGGGGCGCGGCTGCTCGCTGCCCGGGGAGGGGGGAACGAACCGATCTCCGGACACGTTTGGCAGAGGCGGAGGTGGCTACGCTGGGGCAGGTGACGGTGACGGGGGAGAGCGGCGTGGAACAGATGTCTCCACCAGCCAGTCGGCAGTGGCGGAGGCTCCCCGGCTCGCGACAGGTATGGCGTCTGTCCGACGTCGCTGTGGTGCGGACATACGTCAGTTTCTGAACGTGCACAGTAAGTGTGACTAGATGGCAGACCAGAGTGTGAAACAACCACTTTGAAAAAAGACAGCATGTACATGAGCGGTAGGAATTCAAGTTCTGCTCAAGTTATACATTTTGTTTATAGCTGTATAAGTGTAGCTGTTTCGGAACGTCGCATATCAAGTGTGATGAAATGTGATCGGTTGACTGCTCGTTTTGTTTTAGTTCGTAGTAGGATAGCATGCAAATTGACTAGTAACTGGGTACTCGAGTGTCACATGGTGCTCCATGTTCGAAGTAGCCATTTAAATCATGCGCGTGCCGATAACAAGACACAGCGACTTGCTGAGATATGGTTACATGCTTTGCTTAAGTCAGTGAACGCAATTAACGTACTACCTGTCTCGGTAGCATGACAAGCCTAAACATAATAACTTGTAATATAAACGGTTTGGCCAGTGACAACGGGCAGGTTCCCAAAAGGCGTAAGCTGTTCACTTGGTTGAAAGCCCATCAATGTGACGTGGCTCTGCTGCAGGAAACGCACTGTTCAAGTTCAATGGAACGTTTATTCGCCCACGAATGGGGTGGTGACAGTTTCTTCTGTAACGGTACCAGCAGTAGTAGAGGTGTGTGCATCCTAGTCAGAAGAGGTCTCGACTTAGACGTTAAAGAAGTACGAAAAGATGACGAGGGCAGAACAATTTTTTTGAAAGCTGTACTGGAAGGCAGGTCAATTTTGCTTGGTAGTATTTACTGCCCAAACATAGATGAAGTCGAATCAATAATGCGAATTAACGATTGGCTGAGCGAAATGCATGCAGATAACGTCGTGCTTGCAGGTGATTTCAACGTAACATTAGATCCATCTCGAGATCGCGAGTGGCCAAATCAAAGAGTGATACGCGATTATTACGGACAAAGAAACAGGGCGGTAAAAGAAACGTTAGACGAGTTCCGTCTTGATGACGCTTGGCGAAGGCAGCATCCGAACGATATCCAATTCACATTTACCAGAGGTGATTCCCGGTCTCGATCGGATTATTTTTTCATATCTGATCACTTATGCATGCCAGGGAAACTAGTTGCATGCAATATAATGCCACCATTCTTAAGTGACCACAGAGCAGTACAGCTGAAGGTTTGTCCAGCGAAGCAATCCAGAGGTCCAGGATATTGGAAATTTAACAATTCTTTACTGGCAGATGAAACGTTTGTACACTGAAAAAAACTTACTCCCCATTTTCTAATTTTAGAATGCCAAAAAGCACTCCTGCAATCGAATAATTTTATGACCTGGCATAAGCGCCTAAAATGGGGAGTTTTGGGGAATAAAACTAGCATATAGAATATATTTAGTATCCGAACGCTTATATTATTCGTGCTAGGGAGTAATTTTATGACGGAGGATAAAAGTATGCTATCTTTGGATAAAATTACACCAGATGATAATTTTATTAACTTAACACTAAAATTACTCCCATTCGGGGAATAATATTGCCATGCCAAAAAGCACCAGGGGTGGATTTTTATATCAAGTTGGGGTTGCACGTGCAACCCCAACTTTGAATTGTGCAACCCCAACATCGGTTTGTGCAACCCCAACTTTACAACTGAAATAAATCGGCGGGCGACTCGAATGGTGCCGCCCCCATAACCCTGAGCCATCCCAAAACTCTATGCCACCCGTTGACTTGGCACCATCTTTCAAAAGAGCCCTACCCATCATGTAGGCAATAGTCACCCCTCAACTATCTAGTGTACCTAGTTGCCGCCTCCTCAGACCTCAAATGTAGGTGCCGCTCCCTTCGAATGTAGGTGCCGCCCCCTCGAATGTAAGTGCCGCCCCTCGAATGTAGGTGCCGCCCCTCAAATGTAAGTGCCGCCCCTCGATTGTAGGTGCCGCCCCCTCGAATAGGCGCCGCCCATTAAATGTAGGCGCTATCCCCTCGAATGTAGGTGCCACCCCCTCGAATGTTGGTGCCGCCCCTCAAATGTACCTAAATGCCGCCCCTCGAATGTAGGTGCCGCCCCCTCGAATGTAAGTGCCGCCCCCTCAAATGTTAGTGCCGCCCCGCCCCCTCCCTCGAATGTAGATGCCGGCCCTCCTCGAATGTAAGTGCCGCCCCCTCGAATGTAGGTGCCGCCCCCTCGAATGTTGGTGTCGCCCCCTCGAATGTAGGTGCCACCCCCTCAAATGTAAATGTCGCCCCTCGAATGTAGGCGCTGTCCCCTCGAATGTAGGTGCCGCCCCCTCAAATGTTAGTGCCGCCCCCTCGAATGTAGATGCCGGCCCTCCTCGAATGTATGTGCCGCCCCCTCAAATGTTAGTGCCGCCCCCTCGAATGTAGATGCCGGCCCTCCTCGAATGTAGGTGCCGCCCCCTCAAATGTTAGTGCCGCCCCCTCGAATGTAGATGCCAGCCCTCCTCGAATGTAGGTGCCGCCCCCTCAAATGTTAGTGCCGCCCCCTCGAATGTAGGTGCCGGCCCTCCTCGAATGCAGGTGCCGCCCCCTCAAATGTTAGTGCAGCCCCCTCGAATGTAGGTGCCGGCCCTCCTCGAATGCAGGTGCCAGCCCCTCGAATGAAGGTGCCGCGCCGCCCCCACAAATGTTGGCCCCGGCCACTTATGCATAGGTGTCATCGGTCATCCCATAAAATGTAGGTGCCGTCCCTTCGAATGTAAATGGCACCCCCTAGCGTGTAGTTGCCGCCCCCTAAGGCCTAGTTGCAATGCAGCCCCCTCAAATGTAGGTGCCACCCCCTAAGTGTAGGTGCCACCCCTTGAAATGAAGGTGCCTTTCCCTCACATGTAGATAGTTGCCGCCCCCCCCCATGCGTGGGTGCCACTCCTCAAGTTAGGGTGCTGCCCATAAAATGTAGGTGCCGCCCCCTCT